AGCCAGAACTGAGCCAGGCTGCCTACCTGGCTCCTAATACACTTTAAAGGCAGAGCCACAGTGGGGTAGACTCAGCATGAGCCAGAACTGAGCCGGGCTGCCTACCTGGCTCCTAATACACTTTAAAGGCAGAGCCACAGTGGGGGTAGACTCAGCATGAGCCAGAACTGAGCCGGGCTGCCTACCTGGCTCCTAATACACTTTAAAGGCAGAGCCACAGTGGGGGTAGACTCAGCATGAGCCAGAACTGAGCCAGGCTGCCTACCTGGCTCCTAATACACTTTAAAGGCAGAGCCACAGTGGGGGTAGACTCAGCATGAGCCAGAACTGAGCCAGGCTGTTAAAAAATGTACTGGTAGGTGGGGGGAGGGGAATGCATGTCGTCTATAACATTAACCTACAAGCTTTTGCTGAATCAGTTGATCGACTACACCATTCCATCCCTACCTCCAACACGGTTCTTTCTAGTTTCTAGTCAAGATGGGACTGCAGCTCCGTACTTGGCCTCGCAGCACTTACGGAGAAGGCTTAAGATGACACACTGGAGCAGGGGTGGGCAATAATTTTTGGTGGGGGGGCCACTTTGAGATTTTGGAAAATAGTCAAGGAGGGGGCTCAGGGTCCAGGATGGAAGTTGGGTGCCGAAGGGAGCACGAGGTAAGGAACTGGGTGCAGGAGACAGTGTGAGGTCTGAGAGGAAGTTTGGGCAAAGGAGGGGGTTGTGACCTGGGTCAGGGGATTGGGGTGTAGGGTCAGGGAGGGGATCTAGATGCAGGAGAGGGTTCTGGCCTGGGAGAGGGGCACTAGGAGGGAGTGCAAAGTCTGGGAGGGAGCTGTGACCTAGGAGGAGGGGAGAAAAGGGGTGGTGACTTGGGGCAGGGGATTGGGCTGCAGGGTCTGGGAAGGTGTTTGGGTGCAGGAGAGATTCTGGCCCGGGGGAGGAATATAGAAGGGGGTACAGGTTCTGGGAGGGAGTTGTGACCTGGGGGTGTAGAGGGTTTGGATGGTGACCTGGGGAGGGAGTTGGGGTGCCAGAGGCAGGCTCTGGCTGGGAGGCGCTTACCGAAGCCTGCAACACCCCCAAATCACTTACAACTGCAGCTGCAAACCTCTCAGCTCTGGGATAGGGAAAAGATTTGCACTGCTCCCATTCTCCAGGCTAATCTCTCAGATCTTATTGGCTGGCTGTTTCCAGCCAATAGGAGCTGAGAGATTGCTGGGGTCAGTTCCTGTTGGCCCGTTGTTTGATGGTGACCTGGGGAGGGAGTTGGGGTGCCAGAGGCAGGCTCTGGCTGGGAGGCGCTTACCGAAGCCTGCAACACCCCCAAATCACTTACAACTGCAGCTGCAAACCTCTCAGCTCTGGGATAGGGAAAAGATTTGCACTGCTCCCATTCTCCAGGCTAATCTCTCAGATCTTATTGGCTGGCTGTCCCCAGCCAATAGGAGCTGAGAGATTGCTGGGGTCAGTTCCTGTTGGCCCGTTGTTTGTGGCCAATCAGAGCTGAGGATTGGGCTGGGGGCAGGAAGATTGCCCGAAGCCTCCCCCTTCCCTGCAGAGCAGACTCGCGGACTGAATGTGCCTGAGAGGCTTTTGCCCAGCCCTGCGCTGGAGCCTTGCAGTAGTGGCAGCTGTGTTATAAATGGGTTTCCTGTGTGTGCTTAGCAGCCTGGAGCCAAAGTTTTGGAACTTCAGACCGTGAGGCCCATGGATTTGAGAGCCAGAAAGCAAAAGAAGCAGCATACTGATTAGGGATCCCATCTGAAATACCATAAGCAGCTGTTAATACCATAGCTGCCCTTAACTTCTGCCTTTCATTTTACCAAGGCTCCAATGAGCGACTGTCCAATAAGTGGCGACCACCTGGCAGGAGCAAACAGGTATTTCTCTGACCCGCTCCACTGCCGGAGTTTGCCAGTTCAGCTGCACCAATAGCCCAACACTTCCAGTCAGGACACATGGCTCCCGGCCCCGGGGGCCGGTTCTGGATTTGACTAACATGTTCCATTTCATGTCCTGCGGCGGTTGAATGGAGAAGTACCACAGGCAGTGTAGCCCTGGTGCTGCCTTTTCTCCCCAGAGCAAGGCTGGATTCTGTACAAGTGCAGACGGGAGGCTTTCCCGTGGTTAAAATAAAATAGTACCTGGGCCTTCCCGGAAACAGAACCCTCAGGGGACGTCCTTGGGAAATCAGCCCACGTTCTTGCCATTTGAAAGTTGCGGTTCTGGTAGGAAACGTGGCCGGAGATGTGTGCCAGCCCCCTGCCTGTTCTGCTGAAGCCAGGCGTCTCTTCTCTGGCGCGTTCCACGAGGAACCTGAGAAGTGAGCCCTGGAACACCTGCCCGGCCCCCGTTGAAGCCAGTTGGGCTCAGCACAGAGTTCGTCTGCATTCATCGTATTGCAGGACCAGGGCCTGAGCTGTTGCCCGTTCTATCAGCTGTGAAATCGGAAGCATTGTAGGTGACTGGCAGAGCTGTTTGGCCCAAAGCACAGCAGCCACCCAGCTTTCTGCTCTGCACTGCGCTGTCTGAGCGTGTGATTGTGCTCAGTGTGAACAGGAAATTATGGGAGGGTTGTAGTTTTACCTCCGCTCTACATCGGTGGGGTCTCCTGCTTGCTGCAAGCCCCAAGCGGGGTTTGACTAAGGAGATGCTGGCCGCCGTGAGTGGGGACTCAGCTGCTCCCCCCGCCCCTCCGTAATGCTTTGCAGCTGCGTGTGTCTCATGCTGTTCATCAGAGGACCCAAAGTGCTTCATGAAGTGTCCTCAGGATGCCCCGAAAGGGTGGGCAGGTGAAAGCATGTGGTGATGGAAGCCCCACCCGCAAGCACTGTGCCCACCTCTGCGCACACAGCCTCTCTTGCCCTGCTCTGCATTCCCCCGCGCTGCCTGGGCACAGCTAGCTGCAGGAGATTGTCCTGCATGGGAAGGCAGTACAGCCGTACAGTGGGTGACATGTGCCATCTCCCTGGCAACGGAAGGCTTTGGCAACCCGTCCTCGGCCTAAGGGCACTCACTACATAGCTGCACCTGAACCTTGGGCCCCCGTATAGCAGCTGAGAGCGCTGGCCCCATTTCAGCAAGCCCAAAGCAACTTCAAGGGTAAGGAACAGCTCTGCCTTGTGCCACCAGTGGTAACCGTCTGTGCCTTTCTGTCTGACTGTAGATCGCCCCCCCTCCCTCGCTGGCGGAGCCCCTGAAGGAACTCTTCAAGCAGCAGGAGGCGGTGAGGGGGAAGCTGCGACTCCAGCACAGCATCGAGCGGGTAATGGAGAGCCCTGGGGGAGGCCTCCGGGGGTACCTGGCTCTTGGCTATCTCCACGTGAGAAGCGAAGGGCCGGCCTAACTCACGGGGCTCTTGTCTCCTTGTCCCCCAGGAGAAGTTGATTGTTTCGTGCGAACAGGAGATCTTACGCGTTCACTGTCGGGCAGCGCGAACCATTGCTAACCAGGCAGTGCCCTTCAGCGCGTGCACCATGCTGCTGGACTCTGAGGTCTACAACATGCCTCTAGAAAATCAGGTCAGTGCCCACGTTCAGCCTCCTGAAATCCGCCCCGCGGATCCAGTGGTGCAGCTGGGTGTGCGCGGGACGGGTGTAGGGAGGCCTTAACATGCTTCCCATCCAGGTATCTATGACTCCCTCCTCCAGCACACTGGCACGGTGTAGCCGGGGAGAGCTCCCAGTGTGTGCTGCTCTCCAGTGTGTTGGGGGGGGACGTGTCTGACTGACGCAGGGGACCCAGCATTATCTGTCTATTTCAAGTAGCAAAGACTGATCTGTCTGCAGGCTATGAAGCCCCCTCTGCCCCTCCCTGTGAGCAGAACTTGCATCGGACGTTCTGCGCAGATGTTCTGCCCTCCCCTCCCCACGTGTGTCAGAACAGAAAACTATGAAATGACTTTGAGGGAGAGCTTGCTTTGAAAAGCAGAACTCCCCGCACTGCGCACAGAGGGGCTTTTGTTTGAGTCCACATAGGGGGGAGCTGGAGAGAGGCTCAGAAAAACCAGCCCCAAAGATGAGTCAGACTTAGCAGACTGGTGCTATCCAAGGATTTAAAATGAGCTGAAGCGGGATTGAGCGATTACGCTAGCACCTCCTGCTGGCCGGAAGCTGCCGTCTCTGTAGAACACACAGCTGCATTGCAGACGCTGGGCCCTGTACAGTAGACAGTGTAGTGAGATTCATTAGTGAGCCAGCATATTGATCCATGCATCTGATTTACCTCTCAGCAGTTCCCAAGACACACAAAACCCATTATGGAAATCTCCATGTAGAAGACATTATGATGTGGGGCACAAGTTCAAGGACGTGGGGAGCTGCAGGTGTCCTGTTTGCCAGGGAAGAACTGAATGAGTTTAGCCTGAACAGATTCTGCGCTCCACTCCCTGTGGGGAAGGCAAGGAGGGGGCGGGTGTGTAGCAGCTTCCACTCAGGCTCACACCTCTAGCAAAATGCTGTGAGAGCAGCACGGGGCTGCACAGCCATTATTCCTCCCTGCTGGTGCATTTCTGGCTACGTCCTAGCCAGACCCGCTGCCAGGAGAAAGTGAGCGAAGGCGTGGCGGGAAGTGGAGGGGTGTCCGATGGGTATTTCTTTTATGGATACATTAGCACAGGTTCCCTTTGTGCTCTTCCCTCTGCAGGGAGATGAAAACAAATCAGTCAGAGATCGTTTCAATGCGCGCCAGTTTATTTCCTGGTTGCAAGACGTGGATGACAAATACGACCGAATGAAGGTGAGAGCGGTGACCCTGGGGATTCCAGTGCCCGGGGTGGGCAGCATTTCCAGCAGCGGGTGGTGCTGGTCCGTTACCTGCTTGCACTACTTTGCTTGGCATTTTAAAGCAGGGGGAGGATTCCAGTCTCTTCAGCCAGTGCAGGGGCCCCAAACCCTGCAGTCCTGCTAGCAGCGCAGGTCACTGCTGCTGGGCACCTGGTGCCAGGGTTTGGCCAGGAACCCTGGGAGCAAGCGTGAACAGTGTGATCCCACACCCATGCAGGATTCTTAGCCATTCCCAGTGCCATGCAGGGAGCAATCCCTGTGGGGAGCTAGGTAAGCACAGACTGGCTCTGCACATGGGGAAGGAGGCAGACGTCACCTGCTGAGGATCAGAGGGAGGCTGTGGCAGAATTCCTGGCTCAGCCCTGGGCGCATTCCTTGCAGCCACACGGTTTCCCCTTGTCCATGTTCCGTGCCGCTGCACGCTGGCTCGGGTAGGTCCATGGCCCTGCCCACAGTACCCATCATGCAGCTCAGGGGCCACCCAATTCACAGGTGGGACCTGAGCCGCAAAGACACAGCAGGGGTGTGAGCCCAGACTCAGCCTGTGGCCCTCCCTCCCTTCCTTCCTCTTTCACATTGTGTGGGCCTGTTACCATGCCAAGGTGACAGCCACATGCCATGCTGCAGCTCTCCATGGGCTGAGTTCATCCAGGGCTAAAAACGACCATCGTCTGGCCTATTGTTGTACAGCACCTCTGGAGGCAGAGTGGAGCCTTCTCAAAATCCTGTTTTCCAAGCAGCATTTCCTTCCGCAAAGGGTATCCAGGGTCTGCCGGGGACCCTGTCCCTGGCTGGGAATGTCTGTCCAACACAGTAGCTGCAGGCTCCGTCACCCGGCTGCCAGAATGTGATTGTTCAGTACAGTCAAGTGATGGTTGTGTCTCTGTTCTCTCCCATTAACCCCCGTCTCCGCTGGTCGATGGAGCAGACGTGCCTGCTAATGCGACAGCAGCATGAAGCCGCTGCCTTGAACGCCGTGCAGCGAATGGAGTGGCAGTTGAAGGTTCAGGAGCTGGATCCAGCCGGGCACAAATCCCTCTGCGTGAACGAGGTCCCCTCATTCTACGTGCCGATGGTTGACGTCAATGATGACTTTGTGCTCTTGCCGGCATGACAATTCAAAACCAGGAGACATTCTCCCTGAAAACTGGCAAGGGCAGGAGCCCTCTGAGGACGGATGGTGGAGCTCACATTCATCCTTCCCACTTGCTGATGAATCCCTGGTCAGAGGAAGAGGAAGCATCTATCGGCAGAAAACAAAACAGTAAGAAAAATACTTGCACTTTCTTCATGTCGTCTCCCTCGCTTCCGGACTGATCGCCGCCGCGCCAGGCAGCGGGAGCAGGGAACGCGTCTCCCTTCAAATCGGTTGCTGCAGCAGAGGGCAGCCAGCCTGCACACAGCAGTGAGCATCTGACTGGACAAGGAGAGAGACTGACTGAGGCAATGAGGAGGAAAGGTTCAAGGACACGGAGTTGCAGGAGCTGCTGAGCAGGGCCAGCAACCGTGCAGATCATGGACTTGTGAACATGGCAATTGCAAGCTCTTGGGTTTCCATTTGTCCGCAGATCTCCTGGCGGAGACGCTGCGGAGGAGACGGTGGGTTTTTTATATATATATATTTTTTTTTGTTCCATCCTGATTACGTGATAAATTAAAAGCAGAAATAAAAGGAAGCATCCAGCTTGCCCAACTGCAGTACTGGGGGTGCAAACGGCTGAGCAGCTGCTCGTCGCCGCTTTCGGAGGAGGGAGGAGGCAGTTGGCGCATTATGTGCACGCGCCCGTAGGGTGAGTGTCTACCGCGAAAATGGTGCCGTCGAGCAAGGACTTTGCCGATCATGTTTTTAATGGGTAAATCCATTTGGTTTATATATATTTTTCCTTTAATCTTGGGCATTTCGTTTCTCTTTCTGAGAACATAACTTGCTCGTCGCCGCTTTCGGAGGAGGGAGGAGGCAGTTGGCGCATTATGTGCACGCGCCCGTAGGGTGAGTGTCTACCGCGAAAATGGTGCCGTCGAGCAAGGACTTTGCCGATCATGTTTTTAATGGGTAAATCCATTTGGTTTATATATATTTTTCCTTTAATCTTGGGCATTTCGTTTCTCTTTCTGAGAACATAACTTGAAAAAAACACTACAGAGCCAATACTCATATAAAGAAAATTGTATCCCATAAATGCTGTACAGTTTTTATATACATTAACAATGTACTTTTGCTGCCTTCTAGATAATTTATTTTGCAACACATTACTGCACAGTTGTAAATAACTTATGTACTGTAACATCACTTTCAGTTATGTGTAAAGAAATAAATAAATTAATTAAAATTATCTTTGTATGTATAGTTCACCCTAGGCAGCACTTTCCCTCTCAAGGAAAACATAAGGGCCAAACTGGTGTGCAGTGTTCAGTATTTCAAAGCTGTCTTCTGAGATTCAGGCCTCGCAAACAGTGACTCAGTCTGCAGTCCGGGCTATGGAGATCTCCAAGTGTTGACCCCTTTTAACACCGTCTCGTTTTTTTCCTTTTTGCCCCCTGCCCTTTTGTGTTGAGTGGAAGTGGAGAAACCCCCCGCAGAGATTCTGAAGCTGCCAGATTTACTGAGCCTGGCTTGGGCAGGCAGGGGAATCCCGCCCTGCCACGGGCTAGCTTGGGGCCTAGAAGAATGTAGATGATACTTGCACATTTGCGCTGAGGGGGAGACAGTTCACCCTGTTTGCTCAGCCGGAGCTGCTGTCCTATGGGGAGCCAGTGAGTGAGAACCAAAGGGGCCCAGGGAAGATGAGACAGCCTGTTTGGGCGGCGCCTGTAGCTATTTCTGCATTGTGAGCAGCCATTCCAGTGTGTTACTAGTATTGTGAGTTCTGGATAAAGAAGCCAGTTGCTTGATAACCCACCAGAGCTGGGAAGGGAACTGATGAGGAGCTGGGGCCTGCTACCAGGCTGTGTCTGTCGGCCTCCAGCATCACTTGGCTTGTGGGACCCTTTCTGCTTCCTTGTTTTTCAGGGGGTGCTGAACACCCTGTGGGTGCCTGAGGCTTGGGACCTCGCTGTGAGCTTGATCCAGTTCCATTGGCCCAGCCCCACGGCAGTGTCCAACCATCCCAGGGTGCAGTGGGGCTTTGCGAGCTCTGCTCCAAGGCGCCAGCAGGGGGCGTGCTGTACAGCATGCGGCACACCCCCTTCTGGAGCGTTTTCTTATTGGCAGGCAGGGCTGCAAGGGACTTGTCATGGGTTGGTCGGACTCGGCGTCTGTTCGGGGCTGGCCGGGGCTAGGGTGTGCAGGATGCAGACTAGCTGATCGGGGGGGAAGGTGACTAATTAGAGAGAGATGGGACCCTGCCTCCCACCCGCTCTGGGG